CCTGTTGCAAGGTGACCGTTATTGTCGATGCTTCTGAGGCTGAAGAATTTACTGAAATTGCATCCAAACCTCTTCGATCTCTTCCATATGACAGTCCAGGACAAACATATGTTGCATTTGAAAAACCTAGAGTTGTTCCAGTGGTTGGAAAATTCTCAAACATGTTGAGATTTACTGTTAAAGAGGTACTTGTGTCTCACTTCTTTTGAATGGTGAGGGATGCACATATATTCTTTCTTCTTCTTGTTTGTACTACCCATTAGGTAGCTTCCTGTGTTCAGACATCTCTATACTAGTGCTAGAATCTTTTGTTCTTTGATTATTTACCTCCTACCCATTCATTTGGTTAGGTTGATCCCTCTACTGGCGAGGCTGAAGACGATGGAGGGAAGACGAGTACCAGCTAGAGGATTTTGAGGTCGCCGCAGATTATATGCTCAAAGTGGGTGTCACCAACTTCAGGAATGCCTGGGAAAGCATGGGCCCCGATTGTGAACGCATAGATGAATATGATCTTGGGACAAGGGAAAGCCTTGCAGAAGCCGTGAATGCAGTCATCCAACTTCTTGGCATGCAGCCTTGCGAGGCCAGACTTTTACTTCTATGTATCACGATAGGATAATTAGCAATGTAGTTGCTATATTTTCAAACGTGAAGATTTTTTACGGGCCAATTATTATGATAATTATAACTTTTACGTCTATTTCACTTCTTTATGATGTGTTTCTAATTATATTATTCTAATATCTTTCCACCATCTACCTTTCAGAATTGGAAGTGAGCGCTAAAGGGTTCCATTTCTTTAATTCCTTTTTTTTCCAGGGCACAGAGATTGTCCCGAACAACTCAAGATCACATACCTGCCTATTATATGGTGTATACATAGGCAATGTGAATGTGCTTGCCCGTATATCATTAGGGATCGATGGAGTAAAAGAGGTTGCCATGAAGTTGACTGTCAGATTTGAGGATGAAAATGTTAGCGATGCAATTCATGAAACTGTTGCAAGTGGGTAGTTCTCTCTCCATCTTATTTTCCATTTTGTGTTTTTTGTTCGAGGAAAACTTGTTGGCTAGTTTCTCCATTTGTTAGCTGGCGTTGGAGGTTTTGTTTTGTATAATTAACGCGAGGGTTGTATGATGGCAATTGGATTTGGCACCAAATTCAGCCGGCTGAGGAATTCGATATATTATTATATTGAATATCTATAATTTTCTTCAAAATAATGAAAAGGAAGTTAGGTTCGTTGGACCTTGTTTTATAATGAATCTGTGCCAAAGAAGTCAATTCAAAGCACTCCCTTCTATGCTTTCCATCATTCTTTGTTTTGAAACCTTTAAAAATCTATTCATTCGAATCATAATAGTTAAAGATGATTATTTCTGATTGATCGGAACAAATAAAGATGTGTCATTCCTTAATTATTTTGAACGTTGACATTCGTTTATCATATCATATAGCATTGCATTAGCGAGCGATTCAATTTATTACCGTAAAATCAAAATAAGTTATTTTTTTAATAATAAGATGAGTTACTTGTGAAACAAATAAAACTTTGAGCAATCATCTGTATTGGAAATTAAGCTTAGTTCGGCCAAACATACATTTAGTAGGCTCTAGGCTTGGGCACAATTTGATTTGGTTTGGGTTGGTTTTGACTTCAACCCGAAACCAAAACCAAATTAATCAGTTTGGATGAATTTCAACCCAAACCAACCTTCTCTTTTTATTTTTATTTTTTCTTTAAAAAAAGATAAATATATAAAGTGGGTTGGGTTTGTTCGATTAATCAGCGGTTTGAGGCTTCAAACCATAGCCGAATCAATCCACCATGGTTTTGTTTAAAAGTAAACCAAACAAAACCAAACCAATTACCTGTTTCAAATTGACCCAAACCGGCCCGAGTCAATTCGGTTTGATTGGTTTGATCGGTTTTTCGATTTTTTTGCCCAAGCCTAGTAGGCTCTATTCCTGGATACTGTAGCACACATACAAGTCGATAACTTGGTATGTGGGTGTAGATGTGAGGGGGCAAAAAAAAAATAAAAATAATAATAAAATAAAACCTTTGATGATCAGTTAAAATGTATTCTTATTTCAAAACGAAATTACAACAGGAAAAATGACTGAAAAAGAGTGCGACAAGGGGGGGAAAAAAAGATGGTGGAAACTTGCATGTACGACCACTTACTCTAGTAATGTATTTGTCGGTGATCACATTTCAAGAAAAGAGAATACAGTTTTCCAAATCACAACTAATTGGGACACTGGAAATCTTTCCAAGTAGCATATTTCCTGGAAAAAGACAGAGAACCATTCGCCTATTTGTCAGAGAAATCCGAATCAATGAATGGCCTCGGCTACTTATATCACTCTTCTATGCCCTCCAAATGCCCAAATCTGCCAGGAGTAAAATTACTTGTAATGAACTCACATTCATATGTTTATGCTATCGATCTTTTCTATGGTTTAGCTATTACCAAGTATATCGCAAAGAGCCCTATAGCTACCATGTTGATTACGAGAACAAGGTTTGAAACGGACCATAATAAAGCAAAGCTACTTGTGAGGACCAATAGCAGAACACATACACATATACAGATACAAAGATATAGCCCCCGATTGGTTTGAATAAAAATTAGATTTTTAATATATTTTGATAAAAGTTGGTGAAATGTGTGGTTAAAAAATTGGTAAAAGTTGTGGATCCCATAAATATGTGGTCAAAAATGAGTTCTACGAAATGGGAGCCAAACAGGTAGTCAAGCTTGAANCTAAGCAATTTTCCCATTTTTCCTTGAATTGGAATTCTCACCAAAATGGTGAGAATTCCAATTCCGGTTTACTGTAGCGGAATTTTTTATTTTTATTTTTTTTTTCCTTTTTGGGCAATGGAAACAAATTCTAAGAATAATTGTAAAAAAATATTTTCCTTTAATTGACAATTTCCATGTAAAAAAAAGTCAAACGAATACTAAAAGATAGATGATTTTCTTGAATTTTTTATTATTATTATTATTATTTCTTTTTTTGGTTGGCAATGGAAACAAATTTCATCTCCAATACCAGTAAAATCTATCCCTTTAATTGATAATTTTCGTGTAAAACAAAGCCAAGGGAACACCAAAAAACACTTTTATCTCCACATTTTCTACTTGGAAAATTATACCAATCAAACACAATAATTTACAATTTCCAGGAAAACAATTTCTAGGCAATTCAATTCCCTGAAATTCGTTTTCAATTCTATCTTTACAATCAAACGGAGGCTCAAGTATATCGGCAAATGGTTCCAATAGATGGTCATAGTTTCAAGAACAAAAGCAATTTAGACACACTATAAAGGCTTTCAATGTAAGTTAGTGGAAAAAATGAAAAGCATAATGTTAGCTTCATAAATTCTAGAAAATATAAAATGAGATATTTATGCCATGAGCAACCTTCTAAAATATTTCTAGGAGGTCAATGAATCATCAAATCATCCATCTGATTAAGTAAACAGTACACGACAATAAAATAAACTAAATGTTATTCCAATGAACTCGGACTTGGTCCTTTTTCACTCTTTTGTTCGGTCCACAGCTATATCTACGTATCTACAGGAATTCCAATGCAGTCAAATATTTTGCAACCACGCATACAATATAATTTTTTGTATCCCTCTCCTGACTGTTCTGCAAAGACAGCAACTCGGACTTCTGAACATCTTTAGGTCAGCGCAAGGCATACCACGACCACCTATATTGTCCTTCCCTTAGTTTTTCCTCAATTGCTCACCTCCACTTGATGTCATACACTCTCATCTTCAATGCTTTAAGTTTTAGTATGACCATATTAATATTAATATCCTCATTCCCTCTACATTCATCTTAGATATATTTTGTAATTTAATGGCAAGGAAGTTTAATCTAAGCATGACTAATATAATAGCATTCTATAGATCTTGCCAAATGCCAACTCACTTTAATCCTATGCATTATATATTCGTCAAACTCATATTTGTTATTATTGATCATATCTAAACATCTAAACAACCTCTCATCGGGATATAATCATCCTCTATAGTGACTCTATCATCTTTCTTATTCCCACTATGACACTATGGACATTTTATGTACTTTTTGTCTGGTTCTACTTAACTTAAAACTGATAGTTTTTAACTCAATTTATCCTCCTCCTAGCTTTGTCAATTAAGCTATGGCATTGTCAACAAATAACATACACCAATGGAACTTATCTTCAATATATAATTAATAAAATAAAAAATCTTAGACAAGACTCATGAGGTTGTCTATGGTTAAAGCAAAAGGATGAGAACTAAAAAAAAAAAATTTTAAATTTAATACAAGTCTACAGTAATAGGAAATTATACTACCATCAACATAACTACATTTCACTTTTGTGGCTGCTCCAGTATACATATATTTTCATAATATTAGTATATTTAACGAAATTTCCTTTTGTGTCTAACGACTTTCCACCATAACACTTCATTGAGTTCCCTTCCATTCAACTTGGTTGATTAAAGGTGCCAAAGGGTTTAAGTCACATCCAAAAGTTGGTTCTATGTAGAGTGCAGCCTTCGCCACCATGTGTTTGGTAAGAATTATCCTAATTCCACTCCTTGAAATAAATTTAATTGGTGAAAATTGACTCATATATAAGGTGGTCAAATATCAATGGCAGTGGCGTATATAAATAATTTGTCAATAACCTAAGCTTATAACATCAATAATAAGTCAAACTAAAACTTTTGGAGATCTGGTCAGCTGAATGATTTTGCATTTGACAAAAAATGATGCAACGCAGTACACGAATTACGGAGCTATTAAATTCTAGAAAACCTTAAAGGTCTACAAATAAGTGTTCGCTGACCTTGGGTTCTAATTCTAAGGAAACAAAAGTCTTGGTCAATTCCATTGCTTTGGCTACAGAGATTATGAAATGTTACAAAATAAATTTATACATGGATCAGGCAAAAAATAATTGTTTTGATAGTTTTGACAGTGCGAAATTATAGGGCTACCTTTCCGGTGTGACCCTGTAAGGTCCGACAGCAAACCAGGTCGGTCGGGCCAAAAGTCACCGGAGTCTTCCCTTGAGACCTCGCATATCCTGCAACTGCCCAATTGGAAGTATAATTGAATAAGCCGGCACCAACATTGACAGATCTGAAGCACACTCCAATTTAAATCAAACCATAACAGCAATAATTACGATAAATAATTTGAAAAAATTACCATCAGTGTCGAGAAGGAGCAGACGCTTCTGTTTTAATTTATCTCCGAGGGCATTGACAGTCTCTGTAGCGGCCATGTGCCGCTCTTTCAGCTCTGCAACTGATGACATCTTATTTTCCATTAAACCTTAGCCTTTCAGCTTCATTTGAGCACTAATTTTAGTTACGAAAGATCAAGAAATCAAAATTTACGCTTAATTCATGTAAAAATTGGGTTTTTCAAATCAACAACAAGCAAACAAACAAAACAGACGCTTCTGTTTTAATTTATCTCCGAGGGCATTGACAGTCTCTGTAGCGGCCATGTGCCGCTCTTTCAGCTCTGCAACTGATGACATCTTATTTTCCATTAAACCTTAGCCTTTCAGCTTCATTTGAGCACTAATTTTAGTTACGAAAGATCAAGAAATCAAAATTTACGCTTAATTCATGTAAAAATTGGGTTTTTCAAATCAACAACAAGCAAACAAACAAACAAAAAAAAAAGGCTTAAACGGGCTATATGGAGTATATTTGGGGAGAATGGAAGAGGTAGTTTCGTGGAGAGGTAAGTGGTGACTCGGAAATGGTGTGGACGCAAAGTGGACTGTGTTGAGCGTCCAGAGAGAGAAGGAGAGGAGAGAGACAGATGCAGAGCCGCCGGGCCCACAATTTGCTGCCATGGGGTTTCATAATTCTATTCAAACAGTAGGGGGAGAGGGGTGCCGTTTCATGTGGGACCCATATTTCATAGTTGACAACTTTGGGGTAAATTTCAAAAGAAGTCCCCAACTTTCTATTTATGACATTCACATCCCAAACCTTTTAACATTATGCACGCAGTATTCTCAAGTGACGGAGATATGCACCTGATGTCTGACTGAAGGGGCAAAACTGTTCAATTTTTTTTTTTTTGCATTATTGACACCACGAAAATTGTTAGCTACACCACAATATTATTTCCTAAAATAGTCATAAATAAATAAATAAAATGAATGACATAAATAATCCCTTATGTACACACTATGCTATTTATGTACATCATAATTGAAAGCCTAACTCATTTACCTGCGTACACTATGAATAAAAAATCCTAACACACATTTGCGTACATTATACATAAAAATATAATCAAATTTATCACATTTTGTGGGATTCTCATACAAAATTTTAAGAAAATGTGCGACTTACTAGTGGTTACCTCAA